TGTTGTTCTCATTGAGTCACTATGATATTATATAACTTGAGGCTGAAACTGTAGTGATTCACTGTAACAAAAGAAATCTGTTTTTTAATTAAAAATAAAAAATTTTAAATTTAAATTATATGATATATAGTCAAATAAAATAAAATAAAAAATAAAAAAAATTATTTTATATCGTATAACTAATATAAAAAATATATATATTCCCCTCTTCCTTGTACTGCATGAAAAAAAAAAAATGTTACAATTATCGGCTGTCTGAGATCTAGTCACTCCATAAGGTTACCACTTTCATGTTCTAACTAACGATTGAGAATAGGCCATCCATGCCAGAGAGCGCCCCTCCCATTAAATAGTTCAAGTTAGTGGAGTAACACCTGAATTTTCTTGTTTGATCCAAAAGCACATGCTGTTTTTTTTTTTTGCTCAAAATTCTTAGGATATCTTCCTCAACTCAAAGCAAAATCCCATCCCTTTCCACCTTATCTACAAAACCTGACTAAAACTCATTTTTTGTTCTATTATTAAAAGAATCGTTTCATTTTCACCTCCAAAAAGATGATATTTTCTCAGTTTCTCGCCTATTCTGTCTGTGCACTTCCTTTCTTGGTGTGGGTTTGTTGATCTACTATGATTTCGTTGTTGAATCTCTCTAGACTCCTAATCTCCTTTGCCCATTACAGCAAATTCTCTTTTTCTGTCAATCCAATGTCAAAGTCTGCATTTTTCTCTTATGGGTTTCTTTAATTCCTGCATTCTTATCTGTTTTCTACCCATTTCGTCTCCATTAACTTCCATCCTTGTGGGATTCAACCTTTGAGCTGCACCTGTTTGTTAATTTTCTGATCCAGTGATCTTTGGTTCTGTTTTGTTGTGTATAAAAAGGACAATTCCCATCTCTGTCTGTCATCACCAAATCTACCATTTATTTCTCCAATTTCAAACAAAAAAGAGAGAAATTTTGCTCTGAAATTGTACTTTTCATTTGGTTCTGATCCAAAAGGTGCATTATAGGTGCTGATTTTGTCTCTACTATATATGAAATTTATGGGGTGTTGGATTTATTGAAGCAAAATTCTTGGTGATGTCTGAGAATAGTACAGAGCTAGTTGATTGTTGCTTTTCATCAACCCCTTCCTCGGTTGCTTTAGCTGAGCTGAATCTGTACAAAGCTTTTGTCTTCTTTGTCCCAATTTTCTTCACTTTCATTCTTCTCTTCTTGTTCTACATGTTCTATCTTCACCGCCAGGAGTTTGACTGGTCCTCTCTTCTAGCGAGAACATCTCTGCTGAACAACAATGAGCTTTCCAGAGTATCACATCCGCCTGTTTTGACTATATATATATATATATATATATATTTCATTTAACCTGATGATTAAATGTGTTTCTTTTGTATACTTTTGTTCATATCTTTCTTGTTCGTGGATTTCCAGGCTGAAATGGGACTGAAGAAAGAAGTGAGAGAGATGCTTCCCATTATCATATATAAAGAGAGCTTCTCCATCAGAGATACACAGTGAGTTACCGGCCTTTTATTTTGTAGTAAAGTTTTCTTATTTTTCATGACTTTGAGCATCTAATGTTCTGAACATTATTTTGATTGTTATGTACTGGTTAAATGGGCATATATTAAAATAAAAAAAGAAGTAGGGAAACTCCAGATGTGTAGGATGATTCTGTCGGCATTAGCCATGGAATGTAATGACTTCTGTGGCTAAATTGAAAAAAAAAAAAAAAAGGGGAAAAAAGAGGTCCTTATTGAGAACCTTCAGATCAGTTTTTATTTGTGCAGAACCGGAATCATTTGGCAGCAACAGTTAAATACTCTTTTAGTGAATCATCTTCTGCTCCTTGAAGTGCATTGTGTATTATTTGAACCAATGGATGCTTGATATGGTACCAATTGAGAAAGTTTGTACGAAACAGTATCCAGCTTCTTTGAGCTCGATTATGAAATGTGAAATTCAATTGAGCTAGAGTCGATTTTCAATTGATATAGCTTTCTAATAAACAGAAATCTAGAATGATCTTTCATTCTTTCTTAGATAAGGGGCATGTTCAATTGAAAAAAATATTTGGCAGTTGTGTTGGTGTTATCATTTGGGTTTTTATTAGTACAGTACAAATTTGAAAGAATAAGGACATTGAATTTTTTAATTCATACTGCTGGATGGATAGTTTCATCTGTAGCATTTCATAAAATGGATGTGGTGATGACAGAATAAGGTGGATCCATCCTTTCCATGGAAGGTGCAATAAATGTTGAAGCCAGTGCATAAGTAAATTCTGAAATATGTGAAAATTTGAGCTTCACCTTTGCTGCTTTTTTCCCATCTAATAGGGTGGCCTCCTTATTGTTGCAGATGCTCAGTATGCCTTGGGGACTACCAAGCAGAGGATAGGCTTCAGCAGATACCTGCATGTGGCCATACGTTTCACATGGAATGCATTGATCACTGGCTTGCTAACCACAGCACATGCCCACTCTGCCGCCTTTCTGTTCTTGCTTCTCCTAAGGCCTCAAATGAATTGCCTGACATAAATGGAGAAAATAGTCAGGGTCCTTGCAACCCCGAATCATCTATCCAAACAAGGTCCCCAACAGAAGCTGTACAGCCTTCTGAGCGAATGAGTGAAGATGTAGGAATTCTTCAAAGCAATGGTGAAGAAGATGGAAGAAGCTCTCGTTGTGTTAATCTGGATAGAGAGATCATGGATACCGTAATGGGAGAGCATGTCAGTGATGAAGGAATATCTGGTAGTTAACTAATTTACCTTATTTCTTAATTTTCTTTCAGCTGCCTGATGAACTTGCCTTAATTAATGGTCTGACATGCAAACAGAATCTGGTCCAGAGCCTTCCAACCAACAGAATGGTGAAAATCATCTGTTAAACTGCTGTCACTGACTTGCCACAAACACAAGCAGTAAAACAAATGGAGCCAATAATTGGAGATGTAAAAAGTCCCCCAAATGGTCAAGAAGAGGGGGGATGCTTTCTACTCGATGATCAAGGGAGAGAATTTAGGGATACAAGGAATGAAACCAGAGAGCATGAGGATTAAAAGAGACGTAGTGATTTTTTATTAACATAGTTTATTGGACAATTTTTTCCTTGCAACTGCTCAATGAACAAATGCCTTAGTTTATTATGAAGATGCCATTGGCTCAGTTTAATATTTAGATACCATTGGTGGTTTGATTATTGATTCTGTTTATCAATAGTTAGTTACAACTTATAAATATCTTTCTCATTCCGATAAAATGGGTTTGTCCTGTTAACTTGGTTGAGTTAATTTAATTAGCAGTGATGCTCAAGAATGCTGAGATGTTAAGTAGATGCAGAATAATTCCTTATTGAAGATTTATGACAATGTTGGTATGGCGGTTATGTCCTAATGTGATCTTTTATATTAATTTCAGTAGGGATTTTACTCTTACGTTCTTACATGTTTGTTAAAGACTGAAAATGTCAATCAAGCCACATGAATGCAATTGTCAGGTTACAGGAAAATGTTATGGTTCTAAAACTAGTTTGGATTTAGTTTCTTCAGCAGCGACATTAGCTGGATATCTAGCATGGATTTGAGACACAGGGTGGGACAAAGTGGTAACTCTCGCAGGCCAGACCAGAAGTTGTAAAAAAATTTTGGAGATGCGGGGTATCGATCCCCGTACCTCTCGCATGCTAAGCGAGCGCTCTACCATCTGAGCTACATCCCCATTTGTGGGATTTTTTTTTTTTAAAATTTAATGATATTATTTTCGTTCCTTTGAATTATCTACCTGCCACGATTCTCATTTCTTAAGTCCATTGTGTTGACAATTCATGTACCAAACCTGCCCTAACAGACTTCATAAACAAGACTTGAAATGACAATTATTAACCGGAGGAGATTTCATAAAACCACAATTATGTTGTATTATAACTATACTTCAACAAGTCATAAAAGGTATGACTGCATGCTTTTTTGGCATGGAGATTTTTTTTTTTTTTGTTTCGAATTCCACACCTCTAAATCTTAACATAAAAAACTTTTAATAAGGATATAGTGGCCACTAAATCACTAGGACATTCTCTTTTGGCATGGAGATTTAGTAATTAAGAAAAAAATTTACTTAATTATTAGTATTACTTTATTTGGGTATTAAGATTTTATTGGTTTTTTTTTTTTTTTTTTCAGATTTATTGGTTGTTATATTATGAGTTTGTTATGTTGGATTGTATTATTGAATGAAGGATGGAACCTTTAATATGAAGCAGTTTATTTTTATTTAATAATTAAAATTTTATAATCTAAAATAATTCATACTTTATAACACTTTTTCCATTTTATTATATGTTGCCATTGTCTGGTAAACTTTATTAAGAAGAGATTTGTCCAGCCTGCAATGCCTTTGTATCATAAAAATTGTATAG